AAGTATGAGCAGCAAAATATTATATAAGTAATCTTGTTTTTTTTTTAATGCTCTTCTCATGTAACAGTAAAAGGCACATGTTTTTAAGCTCCGATACTACTGTTTTTAACAGGACATATTTAACTGATTAAAATCTAGATCTTGGGTTCTTCTCTGTAACCTTTCACCTTTTCCTCTTTCCTTATTCCTTCTTTCCTTTCTTTTTCTTCCTTTCTCCTTTTCCTTCCAGTATTCATCCATCACTCACTTTTAATTGTGTGATTTGCATGCTCTGTGTGTACTATAGCAGCTTTAAGAGCTTTTTTGCTAGAAGATTCAGTGGCCCGTATTACAGGACTTGTCTTTCCTTTTATTATTATATTTTAATTATTATTGTTTTTCCATATATTACCTAATGATAAGTATTGAACAGCTAATATCATTGGAGTGAAAACAATATTTTTTGAAATTTCCAAATAAGATACATTAAAAACATCATGTGTAAACGTTTATATTTGTTATGTCTATTGAATACATAGACATACTTGACATTTGTATACATAATCAGAAAATATTGTAATACATGTTCACAAAGGTAAAAACCAAAGGTAAACACAGCTACTCATAAAGAGGCCAAATTTATTCAGCAAATGAAATCAAAATGATTTTAAAATAAAGTCAAAATTAATGCGTATGACTACTTTGTGTTCTCAGAAGAATGCAGCAAAATCATTAAGTGGGGATGGCTATCTCTTGTTAGAGTTGCGTTCCATTTGGCGAAAAGTAAGAATGCATGTCAAAATATTAAAATTAATATAGTTATTTTTTTTTAACTTTTTCCCTTCCAACAGTTTTTCTTTGTCCTGGACTACTAAAAGGAGTATACCAGAGTGAACATTTGTTTGAGTCCGACCACCAGTCGGGGGCATGGTGCAAAGACCCTCTGCAGGCTTCTGACAAGATTTATTATATGCCTTGGACCCCCTACAGAACTGATACCCTGACCGAGTACTCATCCAAGGATGACTTCATTGCTGGAAGGCCAACTACAACCTACAAGCTCCCTCACAGGGTGGATGGCACAGGATTTGTAGTGTATGATGGAGCTTTGTTCTTCAACAAAGAGCGCACCAGGAACATAGTCAAGTTTGATCTGCGGACTAGGATAAAAAGTGGAGAGGCTATCATAGCCAATGCCAATTACCATGATACCTCCCCTTACCGATGGGGAGGCAAATCTGACATAGACCTGGCAGTGGATGAGAATGGGCTATGGGTCATCTATGCGACAGAACAAAACAATGGTAAAATTGTCATTAGCCAGTTGAACCCTTACACCCTGCGGATTGAAGGGACATGGGATACTGCCTATGATAAAAGGTCAGCTTCCAATGCATTTATGATTTGTGGGATTCTGTATGTGGTCAAATCTGTGTATGAGGATGATGACAACGAGGCCACAGGGAATAAGATTGACTACATTTACAACACCGACCAAAGTAAGGATAGCTTGGTGGATGTGCCCTTTCCTAATTCATACCAGTACATAGCAGCTGTGGATTACAACCCCAGGGACAACCTTCTTTACGTATGGAATAACTATCACGTCGTGAAATATTCTTTGGATTTTGGACCTCTGGATAGTAGATCAGGTAAGTTTGACTTTTGATGGTTCTTGGCGGGGGTGATGGGTGTTGATATTTATAATGTGTTCTCAATAACTTTATTGTACATTTTGATAAGACTCCCTTTATGGTCTTCCTCCTAGCCTGGGTACCTGAAAACGGTTTATTGTCTTTTCACTAAAAAAAAAAAAAAAATGTTGCTGTTAACCACGTTCAGCTGTAAAAAAAAATATACAAAACCCTGATTCTTTCTCTCCTGTGCAACTAGTCTCCAATATCTTGGCCCTTCTTTGAAGGGCATTTTCATTATCAGCTGGTTAATTCTTTGTGCAGTGAAGTACACAAAATCTTTGCAAAAATAGAATGCTATTCCACCTAATCAATTGTGACATGCGCTCAGAAGTGTTTTCCACTTTGAAAAAGTCGGAGGGTTGGCTTGTATTAATGTTTCAGGAGTCCTACACCAATATATTCACCTCATAGAGAACATAATATGTGACCACTTCTATTGGGAATATTGTCAGTTTGAGTGCACATAGGTCTGAATGTACTTGACTGATATATACGGAAAAATATTCATAACTGGTTAATACAGAAACAGTAGATCTCAGTTTTATAAGAAATAAAGCAATGCAAATCACAGCTGTGAATAAGCTTGCAATAATCTTTAATTCTCATTCATTGGAGAGTCTTTTTCATTTCTAGGACATAGTGTTTCCTTTCTATGTTCAAAGGCAGTCATAATTTTTTTTTAATTTTTACTTACACAACAGAGCAGAATTATTTCAGTTTAGAAGCTAAATTATTTTAAACTAGCAATCATACTATTCTTCATGATAACACATAATGGAAAACTAAGATATGGATGTCTGAATTTTGATGGTAATATGGCAATTCAAAGTTTAATTTTTTTTTCTTTCGGTGCTTATGTGTTAATGGTTCTTATTTTCTGTATTGCTTTTATCGTGATTGTACTAGCAAGCCATTCTCTTCCTATCTTAGTTCATTTTGTATGTATCTTCTTATACAACTAGATTTAAAGTTCCATATGGCCAATAACCTTGCTTTACCCATCCTTTTATTATATTTTTCTTTGACCATTATTTCTACCTTCTCAGACTCTAGTGTAATAATAAAGACTCAATTGCTCTTTATTGAATGAATGAATGAATGAATGAATGAATGGCTTCCATTTCTTAAGGTGATAGAATGCCGAATTAGGTGGCCTTTTCTCTAATCCCCGAGAAGCTTCAGTCAGAATGACAGCAGTTCTTTTCATGGCCAGCAATACTGATATGATGTTGCGTCTCCTTTTGTGGAAGGAGAAGCATAAATATGCAACAGCAGCAAAAGCTACTTCTCCTTACTAAGTACTCAAATAAATCTCCTAGACCAAGGTTAGTATCTGATTCACCTCTGTACAGGTAAATTTTCTCAACCCAGTGTACCCTTCAGTTGAAAACCTAAGCCAGATTACATCATCTAGAGTATGTGGGAAGACAGTTCTTTCAGAGCTCTGATAGTCTTATCCACAATTTATACTTTGACAGTGAAAATTCTGTTAATGAGTGGTTCTTAGCCTTTTTTGACTTTTAATTGGAACAGGAATTAATTTCTACTTGCCTCCAAAGAAATAATAAAGAATTCATCGTCTTTTGAGGTTAGTCAGTGAATAAGGGGCAGTAACATTTCACATTTTATTTATTGGAAAGATCATGCATTATATTTATTTAGAACAATAGGTTAAAATTAATTAGCATTCCTGGTTTTTATTTGATGAACTGAAGAAAACTCTTAACTTAGTTTTTATAAATTATCCTTAAAGAGTATATACTTAGAAACTTGCCAAAAATATTTCTAACATACATTAATAAAGTCTCTATCTATCTATCTATCTATCTATCTATCTATCTATCTATATATATATATATATATGATAAATCATTGTAATTGTGAACATAAGAAAAATTACACCACTCATTTAATTTTGTTTGTTTGTTTATTAATGGAAGCTAAAATAGGAACCATCTTGCCCACATGGACTAGTGCTCACATTTATTAAAAGGATGGTACTAAAGTGGCAAACATTGAGACATGATAAAGTTCAGCTTTTGAAACAAATTCTTAACATGAGCCAGGAGATTCGGTTTTTACTCTTTTTAAACAACAATGGAGATCTTCTCTGTTTTACAAAGTGTGAATTTTCACCTTTCTTAAATTTATAAATAGAATTGTAGGAAAACATATCATTTTCATGCATGAACACTCAAATTAAAAAGTTAATACTTTGGTGTGAACTTATGGCAGTTTAGAGGTGGAAAGAATAAGTGTGGGAAGTAAATTTTATGCATGATATGTGTGGATATGAGAATTTCAATTAACATTAATAGAAGCTGTTCATTTATTTCACACAAACAGTTTCAGCTGGGTGTTTGTCTTTAGTAAATTGCATTGACATTTTTCAAAGAAATTGCCTTTAGTGAATTCTTATTATGGATCTCTTTATGTGTCTATGTATGGAAACCAACTTACTATAAATATGTTAGGGTCAAAAAGACTAATTCTAAGTCTGTAGACCTAAAGTGCATTTGCTCTTTCCATCTGTTGGAAGCAAGCAGGCTGGGTATTTGTGCTCTGACTTTAAGTTCTAATCGATGAAAATTCACATTTTTGAAGTTTTTTTGTAAGGTGGTATCTGTGTTTTACTTCTACAGAATAAAACTATTCTGTACATTAAAAGATCTGGGTTTGGAAGTTAAGAAGCACGTATGCTTCTCTTGTATATGTAAAAACCTCCGGTGACGCATACACATAGGTAGCATGCTGCTTCTGAACATGAGCTTGGGACCCTGAAGGACTTGGGTTTGAATTCTACTTCTAGTGCTTGTTTGTGGACAGGTTGCTCAGCCTCTTGGTCTTCATTTCCTCAACCATGAAATGGAAAAAAGGAAAAATTAAAAAAAAAATAATGAGATGTTACATATAATAGGTGCAACCAACTTAACCTAATAGCTATGCATCTATCCTATAATGGCCTTTATTATTCACATTTTCTAAATGTTGGATCTCAATGTTGGATCTAATGTTGGATCTGTAGCTCATATAACTTACTCAAAAATCACCCGCTATTAAAGTGCAGCCAACTTCAGATTCATGCTCCCTTCTGTGAATCCGGTACTGGAAAGTATGCTAACTGATGCTGTGTGTCTACCTTCGTTCATTGGATAGAAGTGATTTCAGTATCCCCATGAGTCAGGTGCTCTGCAGATGCAAATCTAATCTGTAGTTCTCGCAATTAGTTAATTACCATAGAATTGTGCTCTAAAATATTGTATCTATTCTTTTTTTTTTAAGTTTTTTTGGGGAATTGTGGAAGGGGAACAGTGTTGGGGAGTCGGGGAAGGGGAACAGACAAGTTGCTGTCCTTTTGTTCTTCAGTCTAGTTGTGGAGGATGTTGCTTCACTGGCCCATGTTGGTACATCATTGTGCTCTTCCCGGGCAAGGCAGATCAGTCACTGGCCATTGGATGGCCGCTCACAACGGCTCATGGCAGCTTATGCTAGCTGCCAGCTACTCACTAGCTAACGGCAGCCCACTGCAGCCCCAATTCAGCCTGCGCAGTTGCCAGCAGCCCATTTCCAGGTCAAACTGTTGTTCACCCTCTTAGCTGTAGAGGGCACAGTGTCACTGGCCCTCATGTGGGATCTGAACTGGGGCCCTGCTGCTCAGAGCTGGTGCTCCCAAGGCAACTCTTAACCAATGTGCCACTCAGCTGGCCCTGTATCTATTCTTTAACTATGGTATCAGATGTATATTTTTATTTAACAAGAGTCAATTTAAAATTCTGAAAGGGTAAAGTTTAAGGAAGAATATTATGAACAATTTAGCTGCTCAGAAATATCCAAAAAAGTAGTTTCAATTTAATTCCAATTTCTTGCTTTTCCCAACACCCATTCTCAAACCCCTAATTGTCCTGTCTTTTGTGAGGCTGGCTCAAATGTGACATCTATGTTTGTGTTCTTTTCAAGGGAAAACATCAGGGGAGTGGTAAATCAGTAGAAAAGATTGTTTTCAACAATATATAAAGACATTGATTTTAATTTGATTTTTTAAAAACTTGTATTTTAGGTGTTCATTGTTGACTCTAAATGAACTTTCTTCTTCCAAAGTTCTTTAATGGTTCTTTCCTTCTGGGCAGTGTTTTAAAAAGTTAGAAGTTATCTCTCGTTTATCTGTAAAAATGTTTTCAGACCATTATACTCTCATCACTTAATCTGCATTATTTTAAATGAAAGTTTGCCAGCGCTTTTTTTGCACTTTATCAGCATGAAATTAGTAGGAAATGAATCGGAACTTATTTGATATTGTTATTCACATAGTTTACATTTACAAATGTTATAGAAACAATTTTTAATAGTATAGCTATATCTCATGTATTAAAGAACATACAAATGCAAAGAATTTTCAATTTATTAAAAGCCTTTGTTCAAGAACTAATGAGACTTTGATTCACATTGTACTAATCTCATTGATCTTTTTTTTTTTAAGATTTTATTGCAGAATTGGGGGAGGGGAACTGCGCTGGGAATCGGAGGAAGGGAAATAGACAAGTTGCTGTCGTTTTGTTCTTCAGTCTAGTTGTGGAGGACGTTGCTTCATTGGCCCATGTTGGTATTATCATTGTGCTCTTCCCAGGTGAGGCAGATCAGTCGCTGGCCACTGAACGGCCACTCATGGTGGCTTTTGGCAGCTCACACCGGCTGCCAGCTTCTCACGCTGGCTGCTGGCCACACATGGTAGCTTATGGCAGCCCACTGCAACAGGGACTGCAGCCTACGCTGTTGTTGGCGACTCACGGCATCCCAGTTCCAGATCGAACTGTTGTTCACCACCTTAGCTGTAGAGGGCAGTGTCACTGGCCCCCATGTGGGATCCGAACCGGGGCCCTGCTGCTCAAAGCTTGCGTCCCAAGCCATCTCTTAGCCAATGTGCCACTCGGCCGGCCCCTCACTGATATTGTTTTAGC